TTGAAGCTCAAAATGGATGTCCCGAGCAACGTTACATAGTACAACAGTGTTTACAAGCAACATACCAATACGTATTTTTCAAGGCCGATACAGATACAATACAAATACAGATTGGACTTTTTACTGCACTACATGCATTTGATCATTTTAGTTCATTTGCAAATGATTATTAATACAAAATATAAAACTAATAAATTATGATGCATTATTATAAATTAAGCTACCCAGCAGTATAAAGTAATCAGCTGCAACATTAAAGTGATGAACACATTAACGCAGCAAGAATTATAATCCAGTTATATAATATATATAATTCTGAAACAAGAGATTCCACACTTTTACTTTTGGCACTAAGTAGAGTTTGATGCTAATACGTTTGTACTTTTGCTTAAGGAAGATTTTGGATACCTTTTTAACATTATCTAAAAAAAATAGTTTCATTTTTTTTATATTTCAGAGATTCTTAGAGGCAGCTCATGTACCACTAGTGGTACACGTACCATAGTTTGAGTACCAGTGGTTTAGAGACTGGCTTGTGAGTCCAGGACACCCCACATATATAAAATGAGCCACAATGCAAGACAGCTGAATGGACATATCAGTTCCTTTAAGCAGTGAGTGGATAGTTCAACATTCCTCAAGCTCTGTCAGGAACACACATCATTTATTGCAGATTGCCTGGCTGTGACAGAGCTGGCTGTGAAGACGAAAACAGGAAGTGGGCCGCATCTCTGCAATGCTCTCTCTGATCTGGATCATAATTTATATGCAAGTAGACAAGTCCTCATTGGACCTGTGAGCATTATACTCCTGCTTGACCCTCCAATTTTCTGCTTGCAGTTACATTTGCTAACTATATATATCTCTTTCATATTAGTAAAGTGTGGTACTCTGGACGGATTCACTGAGAGTGACTTGTCAATCATAAGGTAGCCACGCCCTAAAGCATACCCTGCTTTATCGTCTATTTTACAATAAATGGGACCATCATTTATTAATGAACATGTCATGTTTGGAAAATGCATTATGTTTGCAGGTTTCGGAATATGCTTGTATTTCATATACTCCTTGAAAAATACTTTTTTTAAACATAATCTGGTGTTTCATCCACACAATCAGTCAACCAAAAATCTTTTAATATTTGAAATGAAACAACCCATCGTTATATTTATTTGTCGTCTATTGCCGTGTCCACTCGTCATTCACAACTGCCCCATATCCAAGGACTGCTGTGTCCAGACCTTCCTGGCCGAGCCTTCCTTCCGCACCAGTTTTGTTTTGTACAATATCTGCAGAGAGAAGGAAAGTCAGTCTGGATGACAATCCTCTCTCACAAAACAATAAACAACAACGTCCTTCATGCAACTGTCAAACATATCTAAATTGGGCTCAAAGGTTCATTCTTGACCTTGGAAACAGACCAGAAAAAGCCTCATCACAAAGTCCACTTTCTTGATATTTCTAAAACTTTCACTTTACATCGAGTTAAGAAGATTAGACAGAATTCCATGATTGAGGTAACATGAACTAAACAATCTCCATGACAACTGAGCAACACCATTCCCCAAGAAAGCCCAAGAGCAGTGTGGACCTGATAGATAAGTAGCACTGAAACACGCAAATGTTAAAAGACCTACAAGAAGGCTACAAGAAAACCCAATAAGGATATTAAATATATAATATATATCATTTCTGCTAAACACTACAGCTACATAGCTGCAGTGTTTATAGACAGTTTTAGCAGATTTAGTGAACACCACATATAGGATGACCTATATGTAGTTGAGCGGTGTTCAGTTAGTAACTTCAGTAAGTTAAGTAATTTCCCCCTGGGATTTTCAATCAGTATTTCTGATTCTGATTCTGATTCTGATTCAGGGCGGCTGTGGCTCAGAGGCAGAGCGGGTTGTCAACTAATCAGAAAGTCCGATCCCCGGTTACTCCCGCCACATGAGTCCTTGAGCAAGATACTGAACCCCAAATTGCTGCTGTGAATGTGTATGAATGCGTTAGTTTCTGTTCGATGAGCTGAGTGAATGAGTGAATGTGTGTGAAAGGGTGAATGTTGCATGTAGTGTAAAAGCACTTTCAGTGGTCAAAAGACTAGAAACGCGCTATACAAGTACAGGTCCATTTAGCATTTCCATTATCCCAAATGTTTCCAACAATGTTCAAACAAAATCTGTCATTGTATTCAGGTAACGCTGCGTTTCACCGGTCGCCTGTCGATGGCGTCATATCCCCTTTGTGCCTGCGTCAGCGTTGTGGTTGTCTGCCAGAAGCTGTCATACATTGACTGTTGATCCAGTCTGAAGCCACATTGTTACCATCCACTGTTTAGATCTTGGTGCTTTTTAACTCTAGATTTGAACCGGATGAAGGATTTTAGTCATCGGACATCTGGATCTTAAGTTATCAGAGAAACAAGCTGAGCTAACGTTAGCAGCAGCTCGGCTCACAGCCCCTCCGGGACGTCAATGCAATGATGGTAATGGTGGTGAAGACAACAACTGTTGATCCATGATCACATGCTATTCACAACATCATCAGACTTTGTCTGTTGTTATTGTTTTAATGTCTAACGCTAGAAATGACATATTATACATTTAAATGCATAAAAGCCATTCCATTTCTGATTCTTTCTTATTTCAACAACTTTAGGCACATTTTGATAGATGACAAACGTGCACAAACACAGATTCACTGACTTCCAAAATGTTTGTGATGTCACAAATCATGCATGTAGGCCCCACCCCTTAAAATCTGATTTTCAGTGAGCACAGAGAAACTCCACTTTCAGCAGATGAATGTGAAACATCCTTCTAGTGTCAAACTCTGCACATACATTATTCAAACAGCACACTGTGGGAACGCGAAGAAACACTGAGTTCTGACTGGAAGAGGACTTTACCTATACTGTTATCACTGTTATTCAGATAGCTAAAAGGAGAAAAAAGGTTAGCATCAGTAATAAACTCAATATTTACGAAGAGAAAAATAAAAAACAATGACTGGGAAGCTTTAGGCAAAGGGTAACAATAATGAAGAAGTGGATTTAACACCTTAAGCCAACAGCAGTAATCTGAGCTGAGTCGCTAAACCCCGGCCACAATCCATGATCTGTGGCAACTAACACCAGCACTAAAGCCTTCTGGAGACTAAACAACGCCTAATGACTTTTAAATGATTGGGTTGTTTCCAACACAAACTCAGATTTCCCTTTAAACAACAAATGTTAGAAATGCAAACTGACTGACAGAAAGTTGAACATACTACATTTAACCTTTTCCTGACGTTTCTTATTTCAGGATGTTAATCCAATACTGTCTGATATTGACCAAAATGACTGGATCGGATATTGAAACAAATGAAGTATATCCGACACAATCCCTCCATCGACCAATAGGATGGCATTCAGCGATATCAGTGGCCAGTGTTTATCTGTCTCTACCTATCACATTCATTTTGCGCTGGCTAAAACTTTTGTTCAAAGTCAGATATTGGTTTTCCAGCATTGGCACAAATTGTACACAAATACTGATGGCAGAGAGCAGCTGTTCAGCTCTGCATCTCACATCTTGGATCAGAAGAGAAATATACTGAGCTGCAAACAGGAAGAGATAGTTATCTTTGTAGATTTATTTGTTTCCTTGGCACAAAAGGGCAAATAAATAACAAGAAAAAAAACATCTGCATCGGCCAAATTGTTCGTCTAGACATCAGCGCTGGCCCAGAATTTCCCAATCGCTGCATCCCCAGTGAACAGTTTTACTATGAGCACGTGGAAATGCATTGTATTGTATAAACTGTAGGAATAGATTTGTTATGGAGAATTGAAGGAAACACATAGCTTCACTGCAGATGTTCTGCCTGCTGTATCAACCAGTGTGTAGGATGTGGTGGCATCTAGCTATGGAATTGCAGATCACAACTCCCTCTCCCTTCCAAGTGCAAAGGATAAACAACGGTGGCTGCAAACACCAGTATTTAGAGCCAGTGTTTGGTGTGGCCCTTCTGGGCTACTGTGGAAACATGGAGGTTCAACATGGAAGGGAACTTCCATGTTGAACCTCCCTCTGTGATTATACACTAAGGAAAACATATCTATGCATTTTATATTATGTGCATCCATACAAATTCTATTTATGAGGGGGAAGAAGACGATATAGGATTGGTATTGGCTCAAGGTTGCATATAGGACATGAAAAAGTGCTATCAAGCCATCCCCATTTTTTATTTTCATGAACATAGCTTGACTTTTATAGTTGTGCAGTTTAGGAATTAAGGTTTCCTTTTAAATCTGTTGAAAAATGCTGCTACAAGCCTTGTTGCTATAGAACACTTCAGACCATTATCACATACATACAGTGTAGCTATGGATTCAAATGGAATTAAAGGGAACACAAAGCTTCAGTGCTGCTGTCTCAGCTGCCATATGAGGCGGACAGTGGCTGTTCAGAGATCAGCTAGCAAGAGAGAGCAGTATTCACTCTTACTGCTGACGTTCCCTCACATGCCACTAACTTCATTTGCTCAAATGAATGCAGCGTGCTAATCCACTCACATCTTATTTGTTTACATTAGATAGCCGGGCCTGCTAACGTTAGCTACCTAGCTGGCACCAGAGAAAACGTTAGCTGAGGAACTTTAATTGACACACGGACGCTCAAATATCCCGGACATACCGCTGGATTGTGGATTATTCCACGGTTTGCCGGCTACCGTTAGCTCCGTACAAACAGCAGGACAAACGGCGGATAAATCCGCTAATTGATCGTGGAGACGGCGCTAGCTTAAAAAAAGACATCATTCTGAGTGTTTGCAGCTCGGACAGACAACATCAACACATCTGAGCTCTCAAGCAGTCCTCACAGGAGACCGCTGCGAACCTTCCTCTATCAAAAAGGAGCCCATCTGTGGAACTAACATTAGCCGAAGTGGTGGGGCCCTCAACACTGCCAAAGCTTGCTACACCCATCCACTGAATCAACCCATCTTACCTGCTCATCAAATCTAGTAATCACGGCCTGGACCCATTCCACTGGTTTGTGAGCCGCCATGGCCGGGCGGAGGGACACCGCAACGCTGCGCTGGTAGATCCAAGGTATGAGGCCAGAGCTGACGGGCTTATTTATGCATGAAAATCTGTCCCGAGTCGATGGGAAAGGACGAAAGGGGCGAGTATTTTTCCCTTTCTGTAGGATTCACCATGCCACCGCCATGACACACCACCGGAAGTCTTCTTCAGAGAAATTGATGGGAGGTGTTGGAGAGCAGGGTCAAGCTAGCAGGAATGAAAAAGACCACTTCCAGGCACAATCTTCAAAGTAACGATTGTTGACGAAATGTCAAACAAATGCACATGTGAAATAAAGACAGCAATTTAATCAACTTAAAGCTCTTTATGTGTGGCACATCGTGTATTTTTAGGAATATTGTGTCTACGACTAAGACAACTAAAACTGCGAAGAGGACGTTGAAACATTCGGATTCACAGCGATAAGCCCACACAGTGCTGTATTAGATGTTCTACTCATCCGAGTAGAACACGGTCTTTCATGTGATATTCTTTAGTTTTTATTTTGAAGGACTTTCCTTTACCTTACTTCCGCTACTAATGTGGAACACTCTGGCGGATGGGCAGCCCGTTTGGAGCGCATGCGTCAAGTGCGATCAGACTTTATCAGATTGTTTTCAGTACCAAGAATGGATTTTAACAATGGTTAGCTCTTGTGAAAGTCTTAACCAAAACAAATACACACAATTTGGACACAAGCAGTTGCAATGATCCACTCTGTCTCTAGAATGTATAAGAATGTAAAAGTTATTTAAAAAGTGTCACCTCAAAAAAAGGTAAAGTAAAAGAAAAACAGATCATTTGAAAAGGTTTAGTGCTTAGTGATACGTTTAGCACAGTGATTTATTCTTATAAGGTAAAGGCAATAAACACAGTTAGGGAAATACAGTGTGACCATATGAAAATTCTACTTTTTAAGGGACAGTTTAACCCAAAATCAAAAATACATATCTTTGCTTGTACCATAGAGCTATTTATCAATCTAGGTTGTTTTGATGCAAGTTTTGGAGATTGGTGGACATTTATTAGATTTTTGACCATTTAAACACAGCACTGACATATTGTCAGCTTCTAATAGAGTTGATGTAAACATTTTCAAAGCCGCCTAATTCCACATCCAGCAGACACAGTAATGTGAACACTCATTTGGAGTGGTGTTTGTGTCCACCAATGTTACTAAAACTAAAATTATGAGTAAAAAAAAATTTGTTAAATAAAAACTAGAGTGAAACTAACTGAAATGATATTGTGTACTTATAAAACTATACAGGAAATGTCTTTAGTTTTAGTCTTTGTCAAATTTGGTCAAATTTGTCAACATAACAAGCACTGGTGCATTTGTTCATTGAGACTGGGATGTCTCCATGACTGTGAGTCAGTGTGTTTGTATTGTAATATCTGTTGAACTTGCTGCAAGGAGTCAGCCTTTTTACACAGGGTGCCAGCGCTCTGTAAATTAATTAATTTCATTTGAACAATATATTTCAGAGATTCCTCTGCATACCACAAGAGGCAGTACCATACTTTGACAACTAGTGATCCAAACTGTATTTGTCCCACCATGTCTAATGGGTGACATGCACATTATTAAAGTCACTGTGTGACTGAATTAGCTGAAGCAACACACAATCCTCACCAAGATGGTCTTTTACACATAAACATATGGGCTGTTAGAAGTCAAGTACTATATGGTGAGGCACATCAAACACACTTTTGGCTGGCTCTATGAAGAGGAAATACAGAAAAATGTGCAGAAATGAAGAATTCTAAAACTAACTAAATTCAAACTTATTTTATAAAAATCATTTATTGAACTATAATCATACAGTTGCAAATCAGTTAAGGCACCTTATTACATCTGCACAGATGTCACGAATGACTCCAAGGTATCAAGGTATGGTTGTCAATAACTTAATGGAAACAAACAGGATAACATTCACATTAAAGATGAAGAAATTCATGTGTGTTTGAGCATACTGTACTTAAGATAACACATTCTACAGTTACATTCAATAAGATACTTTAGAGCTACATTCAGCTGTTCACACGAGGCAGGAGCAGACTGAATCTTTTTTTTCCCATACACATTCATACAGATGGGTGTGAGTGGTACATGTCTGAGGCCAGGCTCAGGTTGCATTGACTTGAAATATTTAGAAAAGCACTGAGTCACAATAGGAAAACTCTGTGAACATTTTTGAACACCTCTGGGCAAACTTGGCAAACTGTGCACGAGTCCTTTGGTATGCGTGATATTGTGTCATTCTGTAAGACATCAACATGAATCCATCTGCTGCTCTAAAGTGAACGGGATTACATGGATCTTTATTCATCTGAAGGCACCAAGGAGCAACTGCTCAGGTTAATTTCTTCTTTTTGCAACTTGAACCTTGCTTAAAGCAAAGAAACACACTTTGGAGGAAGCTTTCATTAAGACTAATGGTAGGCCATTCACTGGCCTAAAGTGGATGCTTGTTGCGTGATGGGGGAATCCTTTGGGTATAGCCATTATCAGTTTTTCAAACTCCAGTCACTTTGGGAGTTCATGTCTTTGTAGTGGAACTGACATACTACTCGATAGCACCAGGCCTGGTAGCCACGTAGACAAAGACCACGATGAGCAGCACCACTACAGCCAGCGTAGGCAGCACTACAGTGGCCACCTGCTGTCGGGCCTCCTGCATTGCCTGCTTACGCTCCTTCTTGTCCTTGGAGGTTTCTTTCTTGGGTTTGCCTTTGAGCTGCCTCATGATGTCTCCACGACTGCACACACTATGTTCTTGCTGGGCTCACAGGAACCTGACAGGCACAAACACACAATAATGAGTCAGCTTTCAAGTGGTGTGGTAGACAGTAGGATTGTGAAAAAAATCCCAATATTTTGTTATGTGATATTGTATCAATTTTCAACACTATTGATTTTTATGCTTAAATTCCCAGCCATTAGAAGGCAGTGTTGTACACTGCCATCTGTAATGTCGGATGTTTGAGTCACTGTAATGCAAATGCAGATCTCACTGTTCTGGCTGCATTACAAAAGGTTTTTTTTAGATTTTTTAGATTACAAAAAAATTGCAATATATCACCTTGCTTACAGTATTGCGATATATACCAATATATTGAGTCGTAACCCCTGTACCGTGATACTTCGTATATCACCAATACAAGAAGACTACTACTTGCCCTACTAGACCGCAAAGCATAACATTCCTGGAAGTAGACACTGGACTTCATGCAAGAACATTTTCTTCCCCTGCTGCCGTTTAGGCTTCAACAAAAAGTTAAATGTTGTTAACATTTCCTTTTTTATATATATTATAGCTTATAGATATTTGATTGTTTGTTTATGGCACAAAATGGCTCTTTGATAAACCTAAACCTACTTTCTTCTCTAAGCTTGTTTGTACAAGTGTTCTGAGCAGACTCTCTTAACTGAACAAACTTTTTGTAAATCAGCATGATGGATGTCACCTGTCCATGAGGAGGTTTGAAACTGTACAATATGATTGTTAACACAATCACTGCAAACTGAGCAGTCGGATTGAGCGACTTTTCCTGACAACTGAACTGTAGTATATAAGTTGTCATGCAAACACATGCAAATACAATCATTAAATTAAAAAAGGGAAAAATATTGCAGAAGCTCTCAGTAATGATAATATGGAGAAAAGAATATTAATGCTGCACTAAAGGAAAAGTTCATTTTTTTCCCACTGTCTGGTGTCCATGTGTACATTAAAACAGGTTGTGCCAATTATACATATACATACATATATTAACATTTGTGACAAACAAAAACAAGCCAAAGTTATGAAATGTTAAACGCCTAAAACCAAACAACCACACAAGAACTTTGCTTTAATAAAATGAAATATTATTTAAACTAATAAATCTAAATAAAGGAGAGGAGAAGAAAAAAAAAGAACAAGAAAAAGGAGACTATGGATCCAATTAGTGGTCGATTGATACAGGTTTTTCAATGGCTGATGGCTGGCCCTAAACTTTGACTTACGAATCACAAACCTTAGTGACCAGTAAGAATTCAAATATTTGTATAAAAAGGTTAAAAGCAATTTTGCTGTTTACCTACAATGCCCTCCCTCGTCAGAATTCTTGTCTTTCACAGCCCAGCTGATAGTACAGCTGCACACATTTTCACTGAAAAAAACCCAGATTAAAAATCATGATGTGAATTTTTTTTAATTCACATAATCATCATGATGTGAATTTTTTTTAATTCACATAATCATTAACAAACATGTTCTCTTAAATCTGGAGAACAAGATGTGTAGGTATCTTTTTAGAACCACAGTATTTCATTATAATGCTGTTTGTCAAACATTTAATCAAACTTTTTTTAATCAAAAAATTGCAACATTTAAATATTGATTTGGCCATATTGACATTTTGATCATATTATATAATTATATTATTATACAATAGCTCATATGATAACTTTATTAGAAGTGTGTTTAATGTAAACAGTAGGAAAAACCACACTTACATGAATGTTTGATTGTATTCATGTTAGGAATTCTTCATGTTGTATATGGATCGTGGGGGTTTGGGACAGACCTTGTAGTCTTGATCAGCTGCTGGCTCTGCTGATCTTCACAGTCTGAGGAGACCTCTGCTGCCTTCTCAAATCATCTGGGAGTTGAGACAATATCTTAATACTAATGACACTTACTTAATTTGAAGTAAATTACCAAAATATGCCATTACTAGAATTTCATGAAAATGAAGACCACAAAGAGCAGCTTTATACCTTTGATTTGATAGTGCTCCCCTTGTGAGTTTTGGTAAATTGGTGAAAAAGTTGGTTTCCAGCTAATTTTCAATAGAATAGAATTATATGCCTTTTTTTGTTTTGATATAAGCATTATTTAATAGGCATTGCAGCCCTGCTCTCTAAATATCGGCATCGGCCACTGAAAAACCCATTTCAGAGAAATAATATTTTAATATTTAACACTCAAATACTATTTACTATTTTATGTCATATTATAGTGCCTATACAACTATCTTAAAATATGGTGTTTTGAAATGGAAGCAATGTTAAAGTTGTCGACATATCTATTTTTATATTTAAGTTCGGTTTTTACTGCATTGCCGTGGTTGGTGGTTTAAATTCTGCACACACGATGGCATTAAAATGTTTATACATTCTATGTACTTGTGACAGTATACACCACTACATATACCTATATAAAGGTCCAGTCATGCAAGAAAACAAAAAACAAGAAAACAATGAAATCCCCGGTCTAAAAAAAAAATACTGCCTGGCAGCAGTATGAACTGATCTACAGTGTGGTATTTAACACCATCTAGTGGCCTTATTAACACTAGCAGCTGCTTTAAACCTGCATAGAAGAGGACAAGAAGAATAGGATAGAGAGTTAATAAACTGCACAAACTACACATTCATGTTGTTTATAGAGTCTTTTAGTGTTAAGGTCAGTGTGTGGTTAGACTGTTCCTCTTTGCTAATGCAGTTTCCTGTGTCTGGCTTATGGTGGCTGAACAATAAACCGAAATATCACTATATGGCCAAGTGCAATATGCTAATCACAGAAGCTGCAATTTCTTTGATAAAGGTAAAATGTGACAAACAGCATTATAATAAAGCCCTGTAGTTCTGAAGATATGTCCTCTGCCTACAAATCTTGTATTCATGCATCTTACTGCAGATGTAAGAAAACATGTTTGTTTTGTACAAATGTCACATGATCAGGATTTTAACAGATTTTTTCAGTATAAATGAAAATTGTAATACTTAAATTGTAATTGTAAAATGTCTAATTGCACTGTCCAATACTGGTAAAAAAATAATAATCGCAAAATGATTATTTTTGTACCATATCGCCCAGCTTGAACCTCTGATGAAACCACTTAACTGGTATTACCTGTCAGTTTTATTACCAATAATGGTTTATGGCCAATAAATACTGCTAAAAGAGTACAGACAGACATTAATGAGCAACCAGGCCATCTCACCAATATTCACTGAACCTTCATAATACAGGACTGCCCACACCACACACTGCTACACGCAGGTACAACCATGATCACCACTTAGAATCCAGCTGTTGCCCCAGCAAATGGAGCCATAGTATTAAATAATGCCTAATTTGCATATTAAACAAGTTTTCACAACAAAAAAACAATTGTCTTAATGTAAGGAATCAACTGGGGAAGTTCTCTATTTCGATATCTATTAGTTCATTTTGTGAATTTTTACAATTCAAATCTCTGAAGGCCATTTTTCCCCTCACACTCTGAGCCAGAAATCTCCACTTCAGTAGCACTGGCTTTCTACAAAGGCTTTGTTCATATATCATTCATAGCCTGATTTACTCCTAAAAACCTTTTCATGGCTGTATTTTCTGATTTGATATGGAGCCCTAAAAAGAGATATCCAAAATTTCCTCTGTAAAAACTTTTTAATCTAATATTTTAACAAAGTTAAGAATTTTGAATCTGGCTTTATCCAATGTTCATATTTCTGTTGTGGAAATGTATGCAAAATAATGCATTTTTAATTACATCATGCCTTATTTGCATAGTTAAAAATAAAATTGCCGAAACATGTAGTAAAAAAAAGAATTGTCTTAATGTAAGTAATCAAGTGGTAAAGTGTCGCGCTGATATCTATTAGGTTAGTTAAAAACGTAATAAAACCAGTTTCAAGCGTCTCTTAATTGAACTTATTGAAAGAACCGAAAGCAATAGCTGCTTAGAGGGCATGAAAAAAACAGTACTAATGTAAGGCAGCACACCATGCACTGTAATACGTGCATTTATAGTTAACATGTAACAACACATATGGTATTTTAAACCGAGCCTGACTTGTGACACCTGCATTACGTTACAGTAAAAGTTTCATTTCCAAACTTAGTACCGGGCAAACAGTTGGCGAAGAGGCCCGGTCCGGCCCGGCCCGGCCCGGCCAGCAGCAGGGAGTCCGACCGCTAACAGTACCCGTCCTAACATTAGTACCAAACAAATGAGGCAGTGACTTTACCGGCTTCACACAAGAGTTAGCTAGCTAAAAGCGGGGACGCACTGGACGTACAGTATGTTAGTCAGTTAGCCACATGGCTGCCCATTCTATCTCTCGCGTTAGGAACTTGATGAACATTACGGTGCTGTATCCGGTGGCTCCTAATGCTACTTAGCACGTACTAACTTTAGGAAATGTGAGCTAACGTTACAACGCTGTGAAAATACTGCTGACGGTTGAATAAGACTGGCATTGAGAGTTCTCTTACAGATAGAGTCAGAGTTGTGAACGCTGATAAATGTGTTTTGGCAGGCTCTTCCAGTGTTTCTCCCACAGTCCGAGGCGTCAGGTTAGTTACAGCAGCAAGTACAATAAGTTCAAAAGCTGCTGTTCCACAAGGAGCTTGACGTGGCAGTCAGAGGAAGGCGTGTGGATTACCGTTGTCAAATGTACCAGCATGAAAACAAGACATCTTCCGGCCGTACCCTCCAAAATAAAGGCGTCGTCATGAGGAACGTGCGGTCTGACTCTGCATCGTCATCACCTTAGTTGGTTCCCAACCTTTTCTATCATTTAGTAAACGGACGACCCCTGACTAAGTGGCATATTTGGTGGATATCCCATATTATATTCTAAACTGTACAATGAAGCCAAATAGTGAACTCATTAACTTCAAGAAGTGCAGTGTGTGAATTTTGAGCAGTTTTCCTGGTTTTCCTGTGTTCCTTCTTTTTTGACAAAAGTCAGTGTTTTCTTGTCCCGGACGCCTGGCCATTGTTCTATTAGACGATTTACTTAACAATATACTTTACATCAACATTAAAATCAAAAAGGCCTCGCAACCCCCGTGAAGCTTCGGCGAACCCTAGTGCGGGCCCCTATCCCCAGTTGGGGACCACTGGTTTAGAGCACTTTTCTAAAAATAAGTCACATGGCAAAAAACTAAAATCAACAGTAGCACTGAGGCCAAATAGAGGCAAGACACAAATAAAGACATAAAAACATGGCAGAGGGAGGACGATGATGAACGATAAGAACAGAAAAAGAGATTTTCATTTACATAATGTTTATTACATATTCAGAAACATACTTAAATATATATACCAGAGAGGACGGCGTTACAGTAGTTTATTCTGGATTTTTTTCCAGGTCAAGGTAAGAGGTAATTTCTGGCAGCAGGCACATAGTAGAGTAGGGACCAAGGCCACTCTGAATGGGACTGATCTGGTTTGGGTGACTGAAAAATATAATTTCTGATTTTGAGTTGTTGAGTTGAAGGAAATCCAACTGTTGACACCATTGAGACAATCTCAGGGTCTGTTCAGACATTATTTTGAGATGCACAAGTTAACCTCGATGAGGATTTCTTCTAAATGACTTCATCATCATCGTTGTGCAGCCCACAAGTTTTGGTTGCTTTGCTATGACAGGCACGACAGTTGTGCACTGGTCACTCATCTTCGAGGTAAGAGTGGTCGGATTTTGTGGAGTAGGTCAACATTTTCTCCTTGTCTCACCTGATTGTCGTTGAAGTGCAGGGATTTTTTGATGAACCCCCATCTGTTGAGTGCCATGGTGTCAGCTACCTGGGACACTCGGGTGGCTTTGTTCCAAAACATGCGGGTGCTTGGTAGTCCAAACAAGGACATGTACACTGCAGTACCCATGAACTGCTCCGGTTCTTTGGTAGTGATGTTAGGGGGTTTGTTGGTGTCACATTGAATGGCATATAAATTTGACTGCTCTACAACTACTTCCAGAAGGTCTTCAGAAATAAACATCTTGAAGTATTCGTAGAGGGATATGATATTGTCTGATTTTGGAAGGCTGGCCTGCCATTCTGGGTAATCAGTGATGTTGGCACTGTGGGATGTTCTCCACCAGGGTAAGTGTGGAACATTTTCCTCTGATGCATCATCAACAACTTCATTTTCCTCTTCATCCACAGACTCATTGTCATCAGATAGGCCTTCTGTTCCAAAAGGGAAGATTAAAATTAGAATAGGTCATATACCTCTCTTCACCCACTCACGCACGCACACACACACACACACACACACACACACACACACACACACACACGCACATGCATGTTCATTACATACAGTATGTTATTCTACTTACTGAATTCTGATCTCCTTATTCTCCCTCAAACCTGATTCTTGGGTCCACTATTCCTCACTTTCACTCTCCTCAAGCTCACAAGGAATAAGCCTAACTGCTCGATCATCTTCCTTACACCCATAAAATGTTTGTGCATCGATTTCCTGTGAGTAATAGTAGATAGTAAAGCAAAAAAAATTATTATGGTGATAACTATGCATCCCTGCACATCTCCATCCATGAGCATGTTATTGTTCAAACAAAAGTGGTCTAACTGCGCAATGTTGCCCTGAGGCAACGAATGGAAAACTACCATTTTACTATATAAATAAAGACAAAAAGTGTCTTTACTCAATCAAATATGCTTCTTAACAGATTCATGTACATCACAGATATTATTTATACAAAGTTATTCAAATTTAAACATGTTAAAAAGTGAAATTTATCTTACCTGTGTGTCCAAGCTGGCGATGGTTCCAAAAAGGACTGTTCCCGCCACAGACAAAAGGTCAAACCGATGCCCACCTCAAATTTCATTGGTCAAAGACTTATCATCAGACTTTTAATTTGATTTGTTACTTTTAAAAATTTAAAGGGGGGGTGTGTGGGCCAAAATAGTGGTTACTTGCCTGAGGGCAACACCATGCCATAGAGGGTATGTTTATAAATAGTTGGAAAAAATGTCTTTTTCTAAGGACCTCCTAACCAATACAATACTGAGCCCAACAGTGTCAAAAACCTCTCATGGAAGTGTAGTTGGGGATATAATTAATAACTGCACATGGTTGATTTCATATGAGATATGAGTTCAGATAAAAAGGACAGCAATACCGGTTCAAAATCACTAAAGTAACTATGAATAGCATGTAAAGTTCAGTCTGCGGGGGGGAAATTTGTGGTGTGGGTGATGAATAAGACTGTTACCGTAAATAAAATCCTGGGATTAGCATGATTTGCTACAAGGAAATTAGAGAAGAAGAATGCTTTTTGGGTCTCTGTAATTAATGTTTTAAAGAGTTCGGTCTAGACCTGCTCTATTTGAAAAGTGTCCTGAGATAACTTCTGTTATGAATTTATACAAATAAAATTGAATTGAATTGAATTGAATTGTTGTGGCTCTGACTGCAAACACTCTGTCCCTTCTTGTCACGACTTTTTGGGGGCCCTGTGCAAAATGTTGTTTGGGGGCCCCTATTGTCAATTAAATTCAGTTAAATTAAATGTATTGTCCTCCAAGTGGGAAATTCATGTTCACATCATTGCACCTGCAGGCAACAGCATACACTAAACAAAGAAACATGCTATCCACAATTAACAAATCTACAGAAAACAAAACAAAACAAAACAAAAACAAAAAACAAACAAACAATCAAATAAATAATACATGACTGGTTACACACGCCCCTTTGATTAAAGCAGCAATAGCTCCAGGGATCAGGCTTTTCCCATAGCAAGCTTTCTTGTACCTCAATGTTCGGTACCTCCATCCAGAAGGCAGTGGGGTGAGATATTGATTGAGTGGGTGTGTAATGTCCAGTTCATTGTGGTTGCAATGTGTGAGATGGCCCTGTTGTTTAGTTTTGTGAGATTGGGTGTGGTGAGTCCAATTGTTGGTGCTGTGTATGAATTTTGTCTGGTTGGTGACAGCATGTTGTAAAAACAGGAGGAGCAGTATATGAGGATAGGCTGAATGATACTTTGATACAGTAGTAGGAGAAGATGGGGGGAACATTAAGTCCTTTGAGTTTACGGATGACAGATAGTCTTTGCTGGCCCCTTTTGAAGATGTCAGTGGTGTGTACCTTGTGTCCAAGGTATTTAGAACTGTCAACCATTTCAACTGTTTGGTTATTGATAATAATGGGGTGCTGTGGTGTCGGGGAAGCAATGATGAGTTCTTTGGTCTTACTGACATTGAGGTGGAGATGGTTGTCCTCACACCTTTTGCTGAAGTGTGTAATGGTGCTGTGCTAGTCGAGGACAGAGTGCTTGTCTGTGAACAGGGCAATAATGTCTGTGTCGTCTGAATACTTGAGGTAGGTGGTGATGGGTGAGGGACTGGTGCAATCATTGGTGTAGAGTGTGTACAAGAATGGGCTCAGCCCATAGCCCTGCTGGGCTCCTGTGTGATGCTGAGTGCAGGTGAGGTGGTATTGCCCACCTGCACCGCTTGCCGTCTGTCGCTGAGAAAATTGTGCAGGAGATGGATCAGACGGGTGGAGACGTTGAAATAGTGAAGCGTCTGGATCATCAGATGCTTTTGGATGGTGTTAAAAGCAGAGCTGAAGTCCACGAAGAGGATCCTGGCAAAGGTGCCTGGGGAGTCCAGGTGCCGGAGGAGGAGGTGCAGCAGGCAGGCCACAGCGTCCTCTGTGCCCCTCCTAGCTTTGTAGGCTATTTTGTCGGGATTCCAAATCCTGTAAGGTGATCCAGGGGCGTGCATTTAATGTTTAACTGCATCAATCTCATGCACTTTAAGAGAAAAAGCTTGTGATACTTTAAGGAGGTAAACACATAAAAAACATAATCATTAACACAAACATCCATTAAGAAGTTTCAAATGTTTTAATGTGATTGGATTATAATCAGTGAGAATCAGAAATATGCTGTAAGAAAAGGGCCAAACCATTAAGTCCTTTATAGACTATTATGAGGATTTTAAAGTGATTCTGTATTGTACCAGGAACCAATGAAGTGATTTCAGTGGGGGATTAATACTGTACGTTCAAATTTCTGTGTATGTGTAAGGATATTCAAAACGCTGCTGCATTTGGAATGAACCGGAGCCATCCTACTGATAACTATAAGTATCTCATCTTGTCATTCAGCTGTAAAGTTTCTGTTTATCCAGCAAGTAATGTCGTCAGTACAATTTAGTGCAGGAAAATGTATCACATTTGGTCAGGCAGCCAGTTGAAGAGAATAGGAATGAGGCATTAGTCTGATCATTTAGTTGAGAAACGTAGGTAAGTAGAATGTAGATTTCATGTCTAAAAGTAAGGCTAAGTCTGAAACCAGGGTTCAAGTTATGTGGGAGACATTGGGAACTGAGCTCCCATAAAAGGGGGTCTGAGCTCCCATGAAAGTAGTGAAATCATACATCTGTGGGGGTCGCTAATACATTCACAACAACCATTATTTTAATAACAAAAAAAGCATTTTTCAATGTAATAAGTATTGCTTTTCTCTGTTTTTACTGCTTGCGATTTATAACCGATGCATCCTCCCACTAGTGGAATGCTTTACAAGGTAGGGTGCAGTCAACAGAACATAAAATAATGCATGTACTTTGATTTTTCATGATACCAAAAAGGGTAGAATTGCATTCTCCTTTTGAGAGATGGGTTTTGGTTGACATATTTCAGACTATTGAGCCTTTTTTGAAATGTCACAGGGCAAACTCGTGTTGTTGTAATTAATATAATTGTTACAAGAGGTGGCTATGTGTGTCCGTGTGAAAGTGTTAATTCAATTCAATTCAATTCACTTTTATTTATATAGCGCCAAATCATAACAGAAGTTATCTCAGGACACTTTTTAAATAGAGCAGGTCTAGACCGAACTCCTTATAACATTATTTACAGACACCCAACTGTTCCACCATGAGTAAGCACTTGGCGACGGCGGCAAGGAAAAAACGTCCTTTTAAGAGGCAGAAACCTCGGACAGCTCTAGGTGGGAGGCCTAGATAAAGAGAGAGAGAGAGAATGGGGTAAAGACAGAAGTACAGAGACAGAGACAAAGCTGCACAGCAACAACAGTAGCAACAACTACACTAATAGTAGTGACTGATGTTGATAATGATGATGAACATGAAGAAGATGACGACGACGACGACGACAACAACAACAATGATGGGGGACAATGAGCAGTGATTATAGTAATAATAGTAACTGTAGTAATAATAATTGTAATAATAATAATAATAATAACAACAATAATAATATTAGCAGTGGGAGTCAAGCAGGACCATGGGAGGATGCACCACCAGGATCCATGAGAACCTGCGAGAAGAGAAAGCACAAGAACTCCGGGGAAGAAGTGAAGTTAGTAAAATGCATTAATGGGACATGAATGAGTGCAGAAAGAGAGGGAGAGGATGAGAGGAGCTCAGTGCACCATGGGAAATCCCCTGATAGTCTAGGCCTATAGCAGCATAACTAAGGGATGGTTCAGGTCTCACCTGATCCAGCCCTAACTATAAGCTTCATCAAAGAGGAATGTCTTAAGCCTACTCTTGAATGTGGTGAGGGTGTCTGCCTCCCGAACCACAACTGGAAGCTGGTTCCACAGGAGAGGAGCTTGGTAACTGAAGGCTCTGGCTCCTGTTCTACTTTTAGAGACTATAGGAACCACAAGTAGCCCTGCATTCAGAGAACGTAGTGTTCTAGTGGGGTAATTGGGTACTATGAGCTCTGTAAGATATGAAGGAGCCTGACCATGAAGAGCTTTGTAGGTGAGGAGGAAGATTATAAATTCTGTTCTGAATTTTAAAGGGAGCCAGTGCAGAGAAGCTAATACAGAAAAGATATGATCTCCTTTCCTACTTCCTGTCAGTACTCGTGCTGCAGCGTTCTGAATTAATTGGTGCGTCTTAATGGACTTATTGGGGCAGTCTGATAATAAGGAATTGCAGTAATCCAGCCTAGAAGTAACAGATGCATGGACTAGTTTTTCTTCATCCATCTGTGACAGGATGTGTCTAATGTTTTGTAATGTTACTTAAATGAAAAAAGGCAGTCCTGGAGGTTTGCTTTATGTGGGAATTAAAGGACACGCCCTGATCGAAGATTATTCCAAGATTCCTGAGGCCAAGGTAATACCATCTAGAGTAACTATATCTTTAGACAGTGAGTCTTGGAGGTATAAGTACAAAAAATTCATTTTTTTCTGAGTTTAGCATCAGAAAATTGTAGCTTAAATTCATTTAATCAGTTAAATGATTGAACTGATTAATCATTTAATCAGTTCAATCATTTGAACTGGGTATCATCTGCATAACAGTGAAAGTTAATGAAATGATTCCTAATAAAATTGCCTCAGGGAAGCATATATAAAGTGAATAGAATTGGTCCATGCACAGAACCTTGTGGAACTCCATGACTAACTTCAGTGTTAATTCAATTCAATTCAATTCAATTTTATTTGTATAGCGCCAATTCATAACAGAAGTTATCTCAGGACACTTTTCAGAGAGAGAGAGAGAGAGAGAGAGAGAGAGAGAGAGAGGCAGAGAGAGAGAGAGCGAGAGACAGACAGACAGACAGACAGACAGACAGGTGCATAGCAACAACAGTATTGGCAACGGCAATCTAGCAGGACCATGGCAGGAGGCTCCACCAGGATCGATAAGAACCTGCGAGACGAGAAAGCACAAGAACTCCGGGGAAGAAGGAGTGAATGGAGGTTTCATCGTTAACATGCACAAACTGAGAACAATCTGATAAATATGACTTAAACCAGCTTAGTGCGGTTCCTTTAATGCCAATTTGATGCTCAAGTCTCTGTAAAAGAATATTATGGTCAATGGTGTCAAATGCACTAAGATCTAATAATACAAAAAGTCCATTGTCGGAAGCAATTAAAACAAATGGTGTTAGACCATGTAATGAGTAGTAAAGTCTCTCTCTCTTCCTGTGACGGAAAGCGCAACCGGCTATTATTTACTTATTTATTAATATGATGAATGAATAAGTGAATAGGCTTAACTATTTTCTATTGAGTTATTTGAATTTATTTATGAGTGGGCTGTGCCAATCTAGTCAAACAATCAAGTACAATGTAATCAATCAATTTAAGTTTGATTGCATTACTATCAAATGTAAGTATATTCTACTAGAATATTCTTACATTTGATAGCAATATAATGTGTGAATAACTTTTAAGTTTAATGGGCTGGAATTCATAAGTTTTGGTCATGACCACGCCTCTTTATTTCCCGTCACAACAGAATTTGAATCTTGATGATTAGTGCTGCATTCATTTGTATTGGAAGTTTTGCCATTCCTGAGTTGGGAAGTAATTTTTCCGATTTTGTGGGAAATAATGTGGGAACAACATGGATGCTACAAAACAGATGTGTTGTATTTTAATATTTTTCAGAGTGTTACAAAGACACTGATAGCATACCAGTGGAGATTCACGTTATCAAACGTGCTGAGAAGGTTTGAAATGTTATTTTGTCCCAGACTTGTTGCTGCACGAGTAACCCACATCCCTAAAACCACAAAAATACTGACTTGTTATCGGGGTTTGTGCTATAGTCACTCTGCATGGACAGTAATTAACTTAAATATTGTATTACACGTACATCTAAGCAAAATGGTCCGTGTATGTTTTGGTCATTGGATTTTCCTTTCAGAAACGGGTATTAAAAAACAGAAAACGAGTGGTTATTTGATTTTCGTTTTAAAATACAAAAATTCAAATTGAAATACAAGGCGTTTTTCTTTGTCATGGTCAAAAAGGGATGAGCGAAATTTAAAAAATTATTCCATTTTCATTTTCTATTTCATATAACAAAAAATAAAACCACTAGAAAACAGAAACAGAAAAAAGGCCTGTTTTTTCATATTCTGAGACCGGATGTTGTCATTTACAGGACGGTGCTGTGTAGAAGAAACAGTAGGCTAGTAGACTGCGGTCAATCCAGCCGTGAGTCCGATCTCCGAGGTCAAATCAGCCGCACTTAAATTTAGAGTGTACAAGTATTCTCAGCATTATGGTAAATGCGGAGAAACAGCGTATTTACTTCCGGTTTTCAAAATAAAGGTATTTAGAACAGTAAGCTATAATTAAAATATGTTACATTAAAGTGTTTCATGCGCCCCTGATGAATAAAAAAACACTTTATATCAAGTATCTTTACTGCACCAGTGTGGAGAAATGCCAAAATAAAAGTCTCATATTTATGCCTCCAGAGATTGCATATTTGACCATATTTGAGGTACTGTAAAAACATATTGCTCAATAATTCCTGGCTATGGATGGTATATTTGACTTCTACACATCTAAGACTACAAGTATACTTAATATCAAGCATTTTTACTGTACCAATTTGGAGAAATTGAAGAATAAAAGTCCCATATTTATACTTCCAGATTCCATATTTTCTTATATTTTTGAGCTACTGTAAAAACATATTGCTCAATATTTCCAGGCTATGGGTGAAGCATTTTCATTATACTTCAATAATGCTGCAGTAATCATGACAAAATTTCACACAAATGTTTAATAACATCTTGATAATATAAACACTAAACACAAAATCCTACACAATTCTAATTTGTTTACTTTTCACACAAAATGCAATGCCAGTCCACATTCTTCTTATTTTGCTGCTCTGCTGTGTCCATTTGTAGGTAAAAGGGAAAAATAATTAGTTTTAACTTCAAAACACCATTGTACCTACTGTCTCTTCCTCACATATTATTTTTTATATTATTCAGTGTGACAGCTGTTGCAGGTGGTTCCACATACAGTTTACATTTTTACAGTAGCTCAAATATAAGAAAATTTGGAATCTGGAAGTATAAATATGGGACTTTTATTCTTCAATTTCTCCTCATTGGTAGAGTAAAAATGCTTGATATTAAGTATACTTGTAGTCTTAGATGTGTAGAAGTCAAATATACCATCCATAGCCAGGAATTATTGAGCAAAGTGTTTTTACAGTAGCTCAAATATATGAAAATACCACTTGGAGGTACAAATATGGGACTTTTATTGTTGAATTTCTCCAAATTTGTACAGTAAAAATGCTTGATATTAAGTATGTTTGTAGTCTCATTTGTGTAAAAGTCAAATATACCATCAGTAGCCAGGAAACACTGAGCAATATGTTTTTACAGTACCTCAAATATGGTCAAATATGCAATCTCTGGAGGCATAAATATGAGGCTTTTATTTTGGCATTTCTCCACACTGGTGCAGTAAAGATACTTGATATAAAGTGTTTTTTTATTCATCAGGGGCGCATGAAACACTTTAATGTAACATATTTTAATTATAGCTTACTGTTCTAAATACCTTTATTTTGAAAACCGGAAGTAAATACGCTGTTTCTCCGCATTTACCATAATGCTGAGAATACTTGTACACTCGAAATTTAAGTGCGGCTGATTTGACCGCGGAGATCGGACTCACGGCTGGATTGACCGCAGTCTACTAGCCTACTGTTTCTTCTACACAGCACCGTCCTGTTAATGACAACATCCGGTCTCAGAATATGAAAAAACAGACCTTTTTTCTGTTTCTGTTTTCTAGTGATTTTATTTTTTGTTATATGAAATAGAAAATGAAAATCGAATATTTTTTTTAATTTCGCTCATCCCTTTTTGACCATGAAAAAGAAAAACGCCTTGTATTTCAATTTGAATTTTTGTATTTTAAAACGAAAATCAAATAACCACTCGTTTTCTGTTTTTTAATACCCGTTTCTGAAAGGAAAATCCAATGACCAAAACATACACGGACCTAACGTTAGTCACATTTTAGCTCCAGAGTAGAGAAAACAACATTTTAACCAGTTAAAGACATTTTCTCTCAGATAGATTTATCTGCAGTGGCTGTTTGTGAGCAGTAGAAACGTTGTTTTAACCAGTAATATGGATATTTCCACTTGCTAGAGACCCGTTAGCTCGGAAGCTAATGGAAATTGCAGTTTACAGCAGTTTTCAACTGATATTTTTTTAGTTTTTTAGTTTTTGTCTTTCCACCTACTGTGCTGGAGAGTGAGCTGAAGTTTCCTGATTCTCCTCATGGATACAGTCTGATTAATCTGCATTATTTTATAATTAATTTAACATGTTACTTTGACAGCCCTAAAAGTAATTAAAAACTGTGGGGAAGTCAATGAATGTATTTAATAACTATATGTGATTTAGTTATGTCCACTATCTTGCAGCCCACGCAGCCAACAGACATAAGGTGCCTTTGTCTTCGGGGACTGCCAGTCATCTTCGGGGATGATCCCTCTGAATACTTCAAACCTTCCCTCCAAGTAACTACATTTGTTGTAAATGATGCAGGTGCATTGTTTTTTAGTGATTAAAGGTCCAGTGTGTAATATTTATGGTGATTTATTAACAGAAATGTAAAATAATACATATAACTATGTTGTTAGTGCTATATAGTCACCCTATGAAACGAGTCGTTACGTTTTTATTACTTTAGCCTGCCTTTTTATGTACATATACCTCGGGTCCCCCTACACGGAGGCTGACATCTTCCGCTGCAAAGTAGCGATTTGCCGCTACTTTGCCACGCGAACAAGTAGGGGGATATGACGTAGGAGGCGGAGGAAGCCGTGTTTAATAGTTGCTAACTTTGTTGTGTTTTGTTTCTTTCTGTCAGGACGCAAGTGACAAGGACTTGTACAGTCAGATGTCAGTGGGAATCCTCTGCATTGATGAAAATCCTCAGCTCAACCCATCCAGAGTAGGCATCGTGTTGGAGGGGGTTGTGGTCATGGAGGAGCTGGCCAACCTACCACAGGCCTTCTGTGATCTTTTTGGACTGATCTATGCCTTGCACTTAGATTACCCTTAGTGCATGAAAAACACCTTCCAGTTCATTCAGCAGGTGATGCTCAACCTGGGCAGAGGTGAGCTTGCACCAAAAATCCAAACACTGAAAAATCAACTCTCTGTCTAAAACAGTGTTCTGAAATATACCACTGTTCCAAATACCAGTGCTTGGTGCTGTTGCATGTCTAAAATACCACGTTTACTGTTTTGCACTGTTTGTGATATGTTTTTAAGTATTTCCACTGTCTTTGTGTCTTTCTGATGATGATCAGATGATGGTATTTGTACTGATCTAGCAGTTTGGTTCCATCCGTATTGCTAGGCATGTTTTATGGTTTTATTGTGGTTTTATTATTAGCAGGATTTAGGGTCCTTGTAGTCCTCCAGCAATCCTGTCATAGTGGGAGCATGGAAGACACTGGCATTGTGCACATCAAAGCTAAAGTTGTGGTTCCACTTTCCAATTCGTGCATGTAGAGAGCAGCAGAAGTTAACAGAGAAGAGGCAGTCTTCTTTCCCTTCTAAAATATGTTATATACCGCCAGGGTCAACCAAGAACAAATAATATGGTTTAAAAATGTTTCCTGTGCCCCAAGTTAAAATAAAACATGAAAAGAATGTACTTTTGTGTTTTGCTTTTTATTTTCTTAATTTAGAATTTCTGGTGTAAAACAGTTTAATGAAATAGAATTTAGTTTTTTACTCTTAAGATACTAGGTGGAGTAATTGGGTAAAGCAATTAACATTACAAGTGATTTCAAGTGAAATCAACTTGTTGGAGGTTAGTGCATTGAACTTAAAATAACATTTCAGTACTCATGTTTTTAAGTTACTCAAGTTTTCATCAAACATTACTTAATTTTTTTAAGGCAACCGGTTTCCTCAAATTTTTTAACTAAACTCAACTTATCCGGGTTTACAGTGTGTAGAAACATGGTGGTTCAACATGGTGGACTCTGCAGAAGTTGATATAAAAGACTCATTCTAAGGTAACAAAACATGTAACATATTTTCAGGTAATTATACATGAAAGCATACCTATGAATATTATATTCCATTTCTGCCAAAAGATCCTTCTAAATGTTACACACTGGACCTTTAACTGCAACATTTTTTCAAGATGATATTTTAAAATATTTTTTGCCTTTATTGGACAGTGAAGAAGGCAGACAGGAAATAGGGGAGGGAGAAAGGGGAGTATGACATGCAACAAAGGTAAATTACAGATGTGTTCATGAGCAAGGGACATGGTACGTGCTAGCAGGGCTGCCCTCAGGATGTCATAATATCACAGCTACCCTGACTAATAAATGGCAACAGAAGTAGAAGTAAGTAGAAGATATACATGGATACACTACTGAGCACTGTATACTCTGTTCTGTCAGGTGGAAGTAGATCCAGTTACTCAGAGCTGTAGCTTATATTCAACGCATAACAATAACAGTAGAGAACAACTGATAAACTGTACAATGAACCCAAACAGTGAACACAATAACTGCAGGAAGTCTGTGTAAAATGGAAAATGTTTAGGATTTGTTTTATACAATCATATGTCTGTATTGTGTGTTATTTTTAACAATCATATGTACTTAATACTCTTCTTAGATGACAAATTCAGTGTTTTCTTCTTACTGATACTTGGCCCTTGTTCTTTTAGCTCTTTTGTAGATCCATCAATTTAGATCTTTAATAATAATCTCAACTTTAAAAACTATTTAATTTCACCAAAATGAATGAACTACTGCGTATTTTGTTTACATTTTCTTACACCCCTCAAAATCAACCATTCACCAGGGAGTATGATACTATACTCAGTTTCAGTGTACAAATACCCAGAAAGCTGCTGGGCCTGATGAATGCAACAAGCTGTTTTGAGTGTGGAAACCAATCTTCCAGCCATAATTATTAAACATCCAATGTGTAGACATTTTTAACAGCAGCCATCTGGACATGAAATAGTACAAATGTTACATATTATAGCTTCATGGCTGGCTTGCAACATTCTGCCCCCAACCTTGTCCTCAATACAAACTGTTACCATCAAACTGGAGATACAGGGTCCACACTTCAATAAGGTCACTCTTAATAAAAAAGTCAAATTAAATATAGAGCTTAATCCCAGATCAAATGCAACTTGAAGGGACTTAAATGTTTGTCTTCTATGATTGTAATGTCGTCAAATGCAGTGTTAGGCTAGTTACTGAAAAAATTTAACTTATTAGTCATTACCCGTTGCTCTTTTCAAAAGTAATATAATTACTTTCCCTATTACTCCCTGCCAATAGTAGTTACACTACTAGTCATTACTTTTCTGCTACTCCCCACAAAATTGGTAAATTCTGTTCCTTCAGACTATTATTAAAATCAAAGTAATGGAATATTTTCAGCTGCTGAATGTAAGTGTTTCCATCTTCCAAACTAGTTTCCTCCACCATTACAACAATGCATCTAAGGATGTGATGCGATTGGATTGTTGGATTTCAAATTAATTAGTAGGGGTGCCAACCCTACAAAGTAATTTGTACCTATTGTCAGCACTTAAATTAAAGCACGGTTGCAAGATAAAAGTTCTAATTGGTTGATTTATAAACCTTTTAAGTTGCAACATAATTTTGATTAGAAAAACTAGTTGGAACAAGTACATTTTTATGAGTAGCATATGTTCGTGCTACCAAATTTGAAGTCAGTGGTAATTAAAAATACCTTTGATTGTAGAGGAAATGCTTATTCAGTGTAGTACATTGTGTGTATTTTTTTCTTATTTATTTTTTTGTGGGGGGTAACTGAAGTATTACTACTACTATGTAGCAGTACTTAGTTACACTACTAGTTACTGTAATCTCATTACAGGTAATGCCTTACTGCCCAGCACTGCTAAAATGTATGTACCTTTGTTACTTGTCTTAAAAAAATAAATGATTGTGTCCGTCCTGTAACATATTCCACTGTATTTGGCTGTTGCTCTGCACTTCGGGACTCCACACTGTACTGAATTGAAGTGAACGCTGTGTTATTCACGGTCTCAGTACAGTGTCATTGGGCCTTTGGAGCAGCAGCCAACCCCGCTGTCACCCTAGCCCGCACGCGCCACTGGCTGCACGCGGTGACAATCAGGGAGATTACCGTGACGTCACTGTGGGGTGTGAGGCGATTGGTCGGGTTCCCTGCATAATCTCACCGCCGAGTAGCTAAGGTTTTGTTCACCATGTTGGATCAACTGCTCATCTTATTTGCCTTGTGACCAATAGTTTTATCATGTCAGCGGCAGCGGAGCTTCGTGGGCCTAGAGAGTAGAGCTTTCACCCGGGTGGCCTTCCTCCTCCCAGCGGACAGCAGCCTCGCCGACACCGACACCGACACCGACGGGACTGTTTTGATTTGGCGACGCGGAGCGATTAGCTAGCTCCAATCTGTCAGGTTGAATACTCCTGCCTGCAGCACAATCCCTCCCGCATTACCAGGATTGAACTTTGTTTCCCGCATTGTTGTTTGTGTCTCTGGATGTGCGCTTATGAGCCGCGGGAGGACAGCGTGAGAAACAGCCGGCTGTCGATGGGGGAAATAAGTGACCTGCCAGCCGTCTGCGAGGATTTAAATGTTTTGAGTCATGGTCGAAGCTTCGTCACTGTGTCACACTGGTGATGGGGATGTGTTTCCGGGCGCGCGTAGGCTCGTTGTGTGTCAGTAATAATATGTGAGTGGAGCGGATGGCCGAGGCCTGGGCCTGCCTGCCTGCGTGCGCTCTTGTATTGTGGCCTGGGCTGGGATACACCTCCTCTGCACCGGATCAGCGGCGTTAATTAGGGCTCGGAGATTACCCCCTGTTAACAGAGTGTGGCCTGCCTGCGCACACATCTCAAGGAGGATTCAGTTTGGAATAATAAATGCGATTTCCGAGCCGTGTGGAGCGCCGGTGGTGGGAAGAGCAACGGCACTGGAGCAAACTTAGACACTTTTAAAAGATGAATGTTTCCATGTGACGTGCTTTAGATCACACTGTTCTATCAACACGGGGGATTTCATCAGGAGGGAAGGGGGCCCCACCTCTATCATGAGGGACATCTAGGGGCTTTTTTATTTATTGAGGGGGGTGCGGGTTATTTTCTATTCAATATTTTTGATTTCCCATTGTTTGTAGTGACACTGTTAGGGCTGCACAGACTTTTCGACCTGTGTGGTCATTGCTACATTGCTCATGATATGATTTCCATTATTAGCCCCAGGCTACAGAAGCCTAATGGTGTGCAAGCGAGAAAATTAATTTAGAGGAAGTGGGTCAGATCCTTGCTGGCATTATGATTAGGAGGCACAGAGTGGTTTCTCTCCAAACAGAGTCCAAGTGTTGGATCATTTAAAGCCCAAACCTGTTTTCTGTAAGTTTCATAGTGGTGCAGCCTGTAGCCATTCTCATCACTGTTCGGGGGTTCTGAAGGAGGCGTTTCGCTGTCATTGAATGGCTCTTTGCGGCACAACGGCTACAAATGTTACAAAAATGATGGCTGCTTACAACGGTGGCTCCTCAGCAGTGGCTGCCCATCACCCGCATCACCACCACCAGCTCCAGCACCTTCCGCCTCCCCACATACACCACCACCACCACGCGGGCCAGCATCACTTGCAGCATCCGGGCTCCGCCGCCGCCGTACACACGGTCCAGCAGCACACCTCCACGTCCGCGGCCGCGGCGGTGATGCTCAACCCCGGCCAGCAGCAGCCCTACTTCCCCTCTCCTGCCCCCGGACAAGCCCCCGGGCCGGCGGCGGCCGCGGCTCCCGCACAGGTTCAAGCTGCAGCAGCTGTCAAAGCTCACCACCACCACCACCACCACCATCAGCAGCATCAGCAGCAGCACACACACCACCTACCGCAGCAGCTGGACATAGAGCCCGACAGGCCCATCGGCTACGGAGCGTTTGGGGTGGTCTGGTAAGTTCAGTGCAGTACCAGTCTTCATTCATGTTTCAGCCCGTTTTACTACAAGCCCTGTAGGCTGTATATAGCTTTTTAGCTAAATGCCTTTTGCATACTTATACAGACAGTGTTTCCATTCATTTCAGTATGACATGAAAATGAACTTGGACAGTCTGGAAACGCGAGTTATTTCTTAAACTTGATTTTGTCACTGTTCCCAAACTTTTCCCAAAAAAGGGAGCCCTTTTCTATGACCGGGTAAACTGACTAAGTGACGTATTTTATGGATATTTCATATTATAGTCAGTGGATAACAATAACAGTAGAGAACAACTGATAAACTGCAATAAACCCAAACAGTGACCACAATAACTGCAGGAAGTTCGTGTAAAACGAGAGATTTGGATGAATTTTGAGCATTCTTTTAGATTAATTCCTGTGAATATTGCATCATGACTTTCTTTTCCTGATTTATTTTTAATTTTTTTGGAACCTTTTATACAGTCCTTTGTTTGTGTGTGTGTTTTTTTTTTTGTTCAATTATCTGTTTGGTTGTTTTAACTTTTCTAATGCACAACGAGGCTGTTTATCAGAGCTGAGGCTCTGTGAATATAGCGTTGTGTTCAGGTATTCAAAGTTTAGATCTTAAGATGATATAAATAATAATAATCTTAACTCTAAAAAACAATTTTATTTTGGTCTTCTTCACAGAAATGAATAAAATGCTGAGAGATAAGCCTGCAGTGTATATTTTTTTAGTTTTCTTACACCCCTTAAAATCAAGAAGGCCTTGTGACCTCCCATGAAGCTTTGGCTTTGGTTCTGACCCCCAGGTTGGGAATCACTGAGTTAGATCATTTTTGTGGTAATTCTGCGTAAGATTTACAACATCTGCAAGTACAAAATTCCAACTGATGTAAGTTCATTGACATCAGTGAACAGCAAAGCTGTTGATGTTAACTGCAAAGCAACTTTTGAAAATGGAAACTAATGATGGTCTACACATCGATTCAAACACTATAGCACACTCCAGTCCTCTGATGACAATAGTCAGCTGTAACGTGTACATGATGTGTAATAAGCCTAAAGCATGCAAATGCAGAAGTACAGTGACTGCATGTAGAACAGATGAATTTCAATTAGTGCTATGTGTGACATCACTTGAGCAATCTCAGTTTAGCTTGAAGACCAGGGGCGAATCTAGAGGGGCGAAATAATACTTGGCCACCTCACCAGAAGTTTTTTTTAGAAACAAATTTAACACATTTATTAAAAAATAAAAACATGTTAAAAAACCTAATGATGATGTTATGGCTATGGATGGGAATCAAGAATGGTAAATGGACCTGTACTTGTATAGCACCTTTCTAGTCTTCCGACCACTCAAAGCACTTTTACACTATGTGCCACATTCACCCTTTCACACACATTCACTCAGTGATGGCAAAGTCCATCGAACAGAAACTAATATTCATACACACTCACACACCGATGCACGGCATCAGTGTATTGCTCAATGTATCTTGCTCAAGGACACTTCGACATGTGGCACCAGGAGCCTGGGATCGAACCCACAACCTTCCGATTAAGGAACGACCCGCTCTGCCTCTGAGCCACAGCCGCCCAAGAACTGATTCCAAATTGTCCAATCCATCAGAATCCTATGCAACTGAGCTTATCATTTCCTTTAATTAATACCAGCATGTATTTCTGACAGTTGCACTTTTCAAATGAGGTCATGACATCATACTTGTGCGTCTACGCTGCTGGAAACTTGCAACAAGAGGGAGAAAATAGCAGAGAGGAAGAAACGTTGTGGCTTGATGTCACAAAGAAATGCAAAGTAATAACTCTACTCTTCTTCTACACTGTGTTCAGACTCAGAGATACAAGGACGCAACTTGTGTAGGCCTACTTATATCCACAGAGAAAATTGATGAATCAAGTTCAAGATGTTTATTGTGATATATGATAAGAGAATCAACAAAGAATTAATAGACAGAATTGATAATGTTAGCGGTATCAATAAAGTCTTATCTATTTCGATCCCTAGTTATGGTTACATTTTAGACTTTTAGATTTTAGAAGTGATAGACTTAGATTCAATGAAAAGGACAGAAAATGTTTGAAAATTTGAAAATTAAAAAAATGGAATATCTTTATTTGGGGGCTTTTCCAAGCAAATATTGATATGTGATTAAATTAGCATATATTTAGTCTTCATGCCACCCTCTGGACACCCAATGCATATTTCTATTCATCTGCCCCTGTTGATGACTACAAAAATGAACAGAAATTCTTTGCGTCAGCTGGCTCGACAAAATCTAAAACCCCAGTCAGAGATGTCTGACATATCTTTTTCTGTGACATAGACCTCCACTGTTGTCCAAAAACACATCTGTGAGCCACACTGTTGCACTGTCTGACATGTTCCTTCATTAACATGAACGCACACACTTTAGTTTATTTTGGCTCAATCCCACATACAATGGCCTGGTGCACTAGAGCATGTGGATTAATCCCCCACTGAAAATAGTCCCCAAACAAATGTAGCATTTCATCCTGTTTGAGTGACATTTGTTTAAGAACTACAATGTCCATCTGTTGTAGAAAATTACGTAACCTTAAAAGTGAAACTGTGTGAGTTGTTTTTTAAAGATTTTCATCTTCAGTAGGAACCAATGGACTTGAAGCTGATAACCACAGACAGAGCAGGGAAGTCAAAGTATTGGTTTGGATTTGTTGTCAATGAGGAAACTACACCAACCTTATCCTTTAATATTCACTTGGGATGGTAAGATTCACAGATTTGCATCGGTATAAAAGCGACTAAAATGTGCACCGGATACAGTTCAGGATGAACTCAGGACCCATCGTTTCTAACAATCTTTGCATCTCCAAAAAAAACAAAACTCTGTGTGTGTGTGTGTGTGTGTGTGTGTGTGTTTAGTTTCAGTGTATTATTAAGAAATGTGACCAATAATTGTATATTTAGATTGATTCCTCTCAAGCTGCTGCATATCATCATATTCTTTGGCATCATATCACATTGAATTGCATTGTGTTGAATCAAATTGTGTCAATTGCACTGCATCACAATGGGGTGAATCTTACCAAATTGCATTGGTAGTCGCTTTATATTGGTGTCTTTAATGTATTGAAGTGACAGAGAATCACATCCTTTTAATATACAGGCATAATCGGCCTCTCACAACACAGCTTTAAAGCACTATAAGTGTTATTTTTGTGTCTTTTATGTCTTATCCTTTCAGCTACTAGGAGTGCAATAATGATTTTATTACAAAATAAGAATAAGTTTTTCCCTTAAATGGATTGCTGTTAAAGTTGAATGCTGAAGAGCGTTGCATTCTCACTCTGTCAGGAAATGAAACCAGGGAGACAACTGGCAAACCAGGGTGTTAAGATAAGATAAGATAAGATATTCCTTTATTTGTCCCACAATGGGGAAATTCCAATGTGTTGTGACAATAATGATGCCAATATGGCAGTGTCTTGCTTTTCTGTCCAGTTTCTTGGACGGGAAGTTGTTATCATAGGTACAGCACATGAAGGCAACCCTGATGACCCCTGTTGCCATGTTGGCTGGGTAGTAATAGATTCTCATAGGACCTCACACAACTCAGTGATGAGTGATGAGCATGAGTGATTTAAGAGAACGTTGATCATTTTCTTTTTGGGACGAAAAGGAATTCAATGGTCCGGACAAGTGATGTATAGATAGTCTGTCTTTCTCCATTGATATTGTGTACACAGTGTTTGATCTAAGAATTGTTGTGCAGAAAGAATTGTAATGTCATCATTGTCAGTTTAGCAAGAGGCATGAGTATTTTTACCTGGCAAATATGTAAATGGAATGTATTCTCTCATTTTTGGAATGAAACTTGACAACTAATTAAGGGAACGGTAAATGGTAAATGGACCTGTGCTTGTATAGCGCCTTTCTAGTCTTCCGGCCATTCAAAGCGCTTTTACACTACGTGCCACATTCACCCTTTCACACAGTGATGGCAAAACCAGAACAGAAACTAATTCAGGGTTCATACACAAGCAATTTGGGGTTCAGTATTTGGCTCAAGGATACTTTTACCTGCAGCGGGAGATACTTTATATTCAAATTTGAATGTCCTCCTACAGGTGGCATTCATTAAGTTGAAACAAGCCATTTACTTTAAGTTTGTGCAGACAAGAGGTTTTACTGAATGTGACTTGAAACAGGAGGCCCAATGTATTTACATAGTTCAGCTGGCAGCAGTAATTTGAGTTTCAGAATAACATGTTTTTATTAGCTGTCATGCAAAACATCCCTGCTGGTGCAATAGACTTAGAACTAGTTTCTCATATAGTGCCAGTTCCACCCACCTTTCACAAGTTTAATATAATAGGTTGTATGACTTTGAAAAGACCAAAATGCTGAAAAATACAACCATAATAATTGTCATTACAATTGTCACATGAATGTGCCAGTTGAGTTGAGTGGCTAACCTCTCACTTCCTGCTCTTCTCTGTTGAGAGCTGCAAATCTGGGGTTTGAGGAGGAGTATGTGGGCTAGTGTGTAATAAAAGTGGGCCAACAACGCATCTCTGTCACTTGCTCTCTTGGGGTAGGTGTGCAGGGTGACAGGTGGAAAAGGCAGTTGGCTGGCTATGCATTTGTTATTGTCTTTTACATGAACTATAATGAACAGTATACATTATTGAGTTACGGGTTCAGTGTGTAGGATTAAGTGCCATCTAGTGGTGCATTTGCAGATTGCAACTCCCTCGCTTCACCTTCCACATCCAAGCGTAAAGGAGAAACTGCAGTGACCACGAAACGAGCAAAAAACGTGAAGGCCCTATTTTGACAACCAGTGTTTGTCCAGTCTGGGTAGAAGCATGGTGGTTCAACATGGTGAACTCCATGGAAGGCATCTGTAGATAGATAGAAGGCTCATTCTAAGGTAACAAAAACAGAACGATTCCTACATTCAAGTGATAACATACCATTCCCTTCT